TAACTATCCATTTTATTCAATTCATACAGGCATAAAATTCAATTTCTTGTGGCCACGTTACTGTAAGAGTATCAGCCTCCTAATTGGCATAGTCAGCATTATTTGGGAAAAAGGATTTCTTTCCATGTCTTTATGCTATTACCCTTTCCTGCAAGACTCCCCTTCTCCTATTTTTTCTTTTAGCCATACTAGAGCCACTCCTCTTGCTCCATTATCACTTTTTCCTCTTGTCTTTCCTGACAGCACTAGTCAACACTGATCACTCTTTCCACCAAACACCTATGGCACTTAAAACAAAAACCCTCATTTGACAATAACCCAATTCAAATACCATACTTAAAGGCACACTGCTTGAAATAAAGCAGCCAGCTGGAAAATGTCAGTTTTCTTTCTTTATTTTCTCTTACTAATTGTTGCAATTTATTTAATTCATCATTTTAGGTGTATGCATTATTTCCCCTACTTGGGGATAGGCTAAGTAATTCAAATTATATACTTCCTTGCAATTATTAAGCATACTCACAAACATGCGCCATAAATGGAAGGTGGAAAAGAGTGTATTTGCTGAATATCCAAAGAAAGTATAAAAGGTGTTTAACAATATATATTAAGTTTAAAAGTATTTCAATAGTCAAAAGGTGAAACAATGCAAAATTTTCTGATTTCTTTCCAACCTTTTGATTAGCAACATAAAGAGTAAAGGTATAAAATTAAAAATATTTCCTACCTTTAAAGGAGTACTTAATTCATCATTTAAAAAAGGAATTACATTAGGAAAAAAAAAATCCCCAACTCATTCCAGGGAATTGAACCAACAAAAAATTAACATCGGTTAAGATTTGGAAAGATACCTATATAGATTTACAAACTGCAAATGTGCAGAACTTTGTTCATTCCTCTTTCTTTAAGGGGATAAATAGCTAAACTAATTTGATTTTTCCAGATCTGCAAATTTTATACTAGATTGGAATCCTGAGGGAACTAACAACAGATGGATGATTGTGTTATTCTAATCTCAGCTACCTTAGGGTTTAAACAAGATGTCATTTTTAAAAAGACAATCAATTTCTCATTTTAAGAAACATGAAAAAACATTGAATATATCTATCCAGCATTTTCTTTTTTATATCAAAGCATGGTTTTTATTTATTTAAAGTAAATAGAGTGGAATTTTATAATAGGAAATCATTGTTCCACCAGCCAAAAAAAAAAATAAATGATGAAGGGTGAGGATGTCTTTAGCCATGGGAAGAAAATGATATTAGCAACAAGCTTACCATATCATAACAACATATATTATACAATCAAGAAACAGGAAGCCACCTTATTTTTGGCTGTACTCTGAAACTCCAGTGGATAGCTATTCATTTGGAACCTTTAAAGAATTTAAATTCACATTTGGGGTTTATCTGCCTAGATAATACATTCAAAAGAGCCAACATCTGAGAACTCCCTCATCATAATTTAGAAATTCAACAGAGGGCAGTGAATGTGTACACACTGAGCAATTAGTCTTGCTGAGTATTTAGACGATGTATGTAACATAATGTTAATTTTAGATTATTTACAGAAAATATGATCCAACAGAACAATGTGCCAAGCTGCAGAAATTGAGAGATTATAATGAAACTAGGGAGATACCCACTCTGGCCATGCAAATCTCCATAATTATCACTTTTTATTTCCTCTCATACTCATAGACTTGACCATTAATCCCTGTATCTTTTCACACATATTTTCAGGTTTACTCATAGTGTTACAATTTTCTTCACAAATGCTTTTCTTCAAAACTCTCTTCACAATTCCTGTTGCTTCCTCTGTACCTCAGTTTCCTCATTTTAAAAGTGATGATTATACCTACTGCAAACAGTAGTTTTAGGGTTGAATAATATAACACACATCAAGTTCTTCAGCACACTATTTAGCTCACAAGAGGTGCTCAGTAGGTATCAATTCCCTTCACCTACCTTAATCTCTGTTTAATGCTACCTTATGTTTTCCTCTCATTTCTTTGTTCTCATTTTCTTATGTTCTCTTTTATCCCTTTGCCAAATTTGCATTAAAGGTTGCTGTGTAAATAATTAGGTATATGTTCATATGTGTATTTGTAAATGTCAATATATTTAGAATTGTTACACTAATGAATACAGATGCTAATGAAACAGTATATATTTTTAATTCAATAAAGATATATCAAATACTATATTAAAGATACAAAGGAGTTTGAGACCTAATGGAATAATTTAAACTAGCCACATACAATATAATAAATATCAAAATGGTAGTTTAAAGTGAATACAACGAGTGCAGAAGAGGAACATCTACTTAGGAGTAAGAGGGAAGGGAACATTTTAGCTGCAACATTATAGTTAAGTTTTACATTATCATATGGGGAAAGAAAAGCTCATCTAGAAGGAATAGTAGGAACAAAGGTTCAGTGACATGAATGCATAGGAGGCCTTTGATCAGTGGTGGCCAGAAGGATAGGCTGGGTCAGACTGGAAGCATATATTTTTCTTTTTAAGGAAATAGGACATTTAGTGTCTAAATTGAATAAATAATTAAATGATGATTTCTTCAGCAAACAGAGAAGTCATGTTACCCTTTCAAGGAAGAGGAGCAGTATCCCTTGATTATCTATTTTCATGAGTCTCTGCTACTTCTCTGCTTTCTTCACAATTTCTTTACCAACTCTCATGTCCTGGGGATTCACCTTTGGCAGATTTCAGTTCTGCACTCTAGTTCATCCTTTACACAGTCACTTAAATAATCTTCCTAAAGTACCGATGAGTCAAGTAAAGCTTTTGCTCAGAAATCTTAAAGGGTTTAATCTACTGCCTATTAAAATTAAGACAAACTGATTGATACAGTTTATAAAGCCCTCCTCCTCATTCTTTTAGCTATTCTTTCTTTTATTTGTCAAATATTTCTTAACACTGTCATTCTAGTTGCAGAGGATATGACAGATAAGACGTGAAAACTACCCTACAGGAGTTTACTGTCACATTAAGACTTTAAGTTGGAATATGAGAAAGACATGACAGATGCATATTGGCTTTATATTCTAAGCTGATGATTTAGCAATATATATTTCCAACCCACACCTTTCCCCTAAATTCCAGATTCAAATATCCAATGTATAAAAAATGTCTATTTAAATGTATAACAAGTATTCAAAACCTAACATAAAAGCAAGCTCTTCATCTCCTCTCTCAAACCTATTTCTCCCTCATTCTTCCCCATCTCACTGTATGATAATCTAATCCTTCCCGTGGCTTGGATCAATGACTTGGAGTCTTCTTTGATTCCTTCCTTTCTCTCACATTCCACTGTCGATCTGTTACTCAATTCTGTTGGCTCTATCATCAAAATATACCCAGAATCCAAATACTTCTCACGATCTCCCACTGACATCCTCATCCAAACCACTGCCATTTTTCATCTGGATCTTCTCAACAGCTTCCTACTTCATCTCCCTGTCTTAGCCCTCTGTCCTCCCTTCAGTCTTTGCTCAACACAGGCGCCACAGCAATCTTTCGTAAAAACATAAATCAGAGCCTGTGTTCCTATGTTCAAGACACTGCAGTGACTTTCAAAAACCCTCTATCATCCTTCCTTCTCTGACTTCAATACCAACAATGCTTCTCCCATACTCCTGGTCAGCCATACTCGTCTCTTTCCTGGTCACTAGCTGGAATTCTCCTCTCCTGAAAGTACCTACATCTCTTGCTCCCCACTTTGCTAGTCCGAACATGATTAATAATGTAACCCCCATCCCCACCTAGCACTCTCCAGCCCTCTTCCCTGCTGTGTAGTTCTCATTTGCTGCCATACTATTTGATATACTAAAGTATTTGTTTATTGTCTGTCTTCCCACCAGAAGGCAAGATTCTTTCCCTCTTTTGTTTACTGCTGTGTCTATATGCTTATAAAAATTCTATTAAATAGTAGAAAACTGTAAGTATGCGTTTAATAAATGAATGTATCTTTGGGTGGGGGAAGGGAGAAGCTGGCAATGCTGCTAATAGTTTAGTGTTCCTGAAAAATAAACAGAAGGCATGGAGAAAAAGACACGATGCCAGAGAGGAAGAAAAGGGAAGGGAAATGTAAGGCTTTGGGTATCAAGGTAAGAAGCTTAGACTTTATGTAATGGTCAATGTTGATCCTTCCAAGGAAGGATCTTCCTTGTACTTCAAGGAATGAGTAGGTCAGATTTGCACTTCAAAGGTCACTCTGAGAGCAGCATAAAGGATACCTTTGAAAAGAAATCAGATTCTAATCAGCGACAACTGGAAAGGATGCTGTTGTAATACCCTAGGCAAGAAGTAATGGGGGCCTGAACAAAGAAGTGATCAATTAAGTAGATAAATCTGAGATCTATTAAGAACATAGAATTAACATAGTTTGCTAATTGAGAAGAAAATATGGACTTAGATCATTATTCAGTTTCTGGTTTAGATGGACAGTAGATGATTGTATTGCCCAGCAAAACACAATGTAGAAAAGGGTATATGTTAATAAGGTATGATGAAGTGAGGGCCTTGCTGGACATTTGGGGTTTGAGGGTTTCTGTAGCACATCCAGGTGATGTTTACCTTTTAAGCTGCTGGGAATACCACAATGTAGTAGATCTCTGAATAGAAGATGTGAATTTTGAAGTTATCAACATATGAGGTAGGTAAAATAGTACAAACAAATGAGATCCTAGAGGATAGTGGATAGAATCAAAAGAGAGGAAGACACTGCCTTAATGAAAAACAACTTTTGATGGGTAGACTGGAAAAAAAAAGCTCAAAAAAGAGTTAGAAAGTTACAAGAAAACCCAGACACTTGCACAGAAGAGACTGAAAGATATCTATACTGTATATGGCACCAAGTGAGAGATTTTTAAGATGAGAAACCTTGTGCGTATTTTTAATCTAATTAGACAGCTCTATGAAATATTATCTATTTTTTAGATAATTAAGTGCTTTTCAAAATTCAAGATGCTTAAAACATACCTGTATATTCCACTGAGGGGAAGTAGCATTCAGATTGGCTATCGGAGAGATGAAGCACAAATTTTTCAAGCAATTCTAGTAAAGCTGTAATAAACAAGAGAATAATTAGGATATTAAAGGTCAAGAATAATACGTGATAATGCATCTCTAAAGTCACAGACTAGTAGATAAAAGTCATCTGAACTTCTTCACAGTTACACTCTTAAGGGGGTCCAATTCAAAACACAAAGCACTTTAATAATGTGTTTTGTTAACATAACAATGTTTTTGATGTAAATTAAATTTTATTTGCTTCACTGAGAACCTATTCAATGTAAAACTGGAAAAGAATCATCTGTTATCTTTAGATTCTCTAAGGATTACTTCAGAATTCGCTAAATGATTTCGATACAGAAATAAAATCATCACTAATTAGGCTATAATATCTTATCATCATTATTCACACATGCAGAAAAAAAAATTATCTAAACTCCAAGACCACAATCAAGGCCTAACTCCCTTCCCTTTCAAGACCAGGACATATTATGTGTTTTATACACTTTGCAACTTTATATCTGTTTAAGGCAACTGGATCAAAAGTAAGCTTGCCAGCAGTTGCGTGGAGGGAAAGATGCATAGGTAGAACACAGGATTTTTAGGGCGGTGATACTCTTCTCTGTCACACAACAATGGTGGGTGAATTTCCCCATTATACATTTGTTAAAATTCATAGAATGTGCAAACACCAAGAGTGAACGCTAATGTAAACTATGGACTTTGGATGATAATGATGTGCCAGTGTAGGTTCGTTGATTGTAACAAGTGTTATCACTCTGATGTGAGGTGTTTATAGTGGGGGAGGTTGTGCATGTGTAAGGCATAGCATGTATATGGGGACTCTTCATACTTTCTGTTCAATTTTGCTGTAAATCTACAATTACTCTAAAAAAGTTTATTAATCAAAAAAAAGTTGGAAAAGATGCCTATCTTTCAGTGAAACAGTAAAGAACTGTATCAAAAAAAAAAAAAAGTAAGCTTTTCTCTCTCTGGTTTAGAAGGAACAAATGATTCCTGGACTGGACTGATAATGCCACTGTGTTTGCATTTACCACTCTCAAAATGTATATAATCAGATGAATTATACTTAATATAGAATCCAGAATTGGTTTTTTGGAAATATATCTATAAAGTAAATGATATGCATACACAGTATATATATATATATAAGTATAAGTATATAAGTATAAGTATTATAAGTATATATATATAAAACAAGCAAGCTTAAGTCACCTTTTAAAACTGCGTTACATTCAGGATATTGACTCTGACCTGTATTAACTAAATGGACCCTTTTTTCATATCCAAGTGCATTTTAAGCACATAAGTCATAAAGGAAATTAGTGTTCAACATGTGAAAAATGTACAATCAAACAGGAATAACATGTGCTTTCCAACAACTGTAGCTCTGACAAGCTACATATCACAGTTCTTTAATGGCTTAAGATAAAAACAAAACTATTCATATTCTGATTTCAAATTAAAATAAGTATTAAAAAGTATGAAAATATAGTAATGGAGAGTCAGAAAGGGCAACAGTATTGTCAATTATTTAAACTTATAGTTGTTTAATGGTTCTATCTTTACATGCATAGGGATAAATTCTCTCACTCACAGAAAAATCTTTCAAAGTTTTTACCTATGAATCTATACATAAATAGCCCTTAGGTGAGAGCTTTCAACCTCCATGTGTTTGTTTATGTTAGTTAATATAGAGAGGAAAAAATGAAACAAGACAAAACCAGAGAGGGAGACAAAACATAAGAGACTCTTAATCTTAGGAAACAAACTGAGGGTTGCTGGAGGGAAGGGGGGGGGATGGGGTAACTGGGTGATGGACATTGGGGAGGGTATGTGTTGTAGTGAGCACTGGGTATTATATAAGACTGATGAATCACAGACCTGTACCCTTGAAACAAGTAATACATTATATGTTAATTAACTGAATTTAAATTAAAAAATTATAGTCTTGAGATTCTTGAGATTACAATTTTTTAAGAATATCTTAACGAATTTTAGAAAATCATTCTGAATCAAATGATAAGAATAAAATGTGAGATACACATTAGTAACAAAGATTATATAAAAAGAATTTTAAGTGGAAATATTCATTTAACATTATAATTATTCTCATTTTAGCACAACCGAATGTTTGCTACATGCTATGCATTGAAGTAAAGTGCATGAGTTAATGGGAAAGGTCAAAGCATACTGCTAAGCAATTCTTTGAATCCTATGCCCAGAATCAGGTTTAGCCATCAGACAGATACCTAAACACACTTCAGTGAAATAAAAAAATTCTTTATCACATCTGTGGAGCTAAACACAATATAATTTGAAACTTAAGAGTTACCAGACTAACTGCAGACTTTGCAAAGCACACTATCTTATGGCAAGTACTGATCTTGAAATGCAAAACTATGCCATTAGATCCATACACTGGAGGCTTTTAGATTAACTATTTTTATACTTTGTATGCAAAAATTACATCGCCAAACTATCTGGAGAAGGTTCTGGACTTCTACTGATTCCAATAGACTCATTTTGCCCAGCAACCCTTATAAACAGCACTATGCACTTCCCAATATTTTGAGGGATAGGCTATAATCATGGAATAATACTAAAAACTGATCTACATACGGTAGTTGAACCCGTGGCTAAAATCTCATTGGCACATCTAACTAACCAAACAAGTGTAGCTGAACTTGCATAATTACTAGAGTGGCTACTTATCTCAGTATGACCAACCACTTCACTCATTGTCAATTCACTGAAAATTCCATCATCTATAACTCAAGGAAATTAGTTCATATCATGAAACGCTTAACTTTAAACACAAATTAACTCTAGAATACTACTGTCCAGAAAGTAAACCATAAAATATTCTTTTCATCTTAAGTGGATCTTTTTATTTCAAATGATAGACCTGGAATTTCTAGAAAGGATTTTAGATTATAAGCTGCCTCCTTTTAAACATATTTATTCCATGGGGCTGGACTATGACACAGACTATAAAAACAAAATGTATAAGATATATGTGTATGTGTGTGTGTGTGTGTGTGTGTGTGTGTACATACAAACTACAAAGGGACACGGGTTTATCTCATGAGGAAACACTGAGGACAGATTGTTCAGGGATACTTGGGTATTGACTAATTTCTCCCTTGGCACTGCTATCACAACAGAAGCTGGTTCCAAAACTAAGGCAGCTCAGTGTTTGTAAACATGCAAAATTTCTCCTGGATTCATTCTTTTTTAATTCTTTTTTATCTTGTATCACTGCTAGCATATCATCAATCATAAGATAATTGCAATAGAGACCCAATTTTTTCCCAATCAATCCATCTTGCGTGGAACCACCAGAGGCTTGTTCCTTGAACACTTGCTTATTCAAGAACTAAATCATGGCTCCCATCTCCCTACCCCATGAAGTTAACACTATACTCATGGGTTTCAGGCACTTTACAATCTTACTGCATCCAACCATATCCACTTTTTATAGAAATTATAAGCACAGTCAGACTATTTTTCTCAATCTTCTCAAGTAGTTTATATTCACTTTCCTCTATATTTTTTAAGAAAACTTATTTTGTATAATTATAGAGTCTCAGGAAGTTGCGAGGATAGTACAAAGGTAGAGGACTTCTTTTATCCCTTCATTTAGGATAGATCTGCTGTTGACAAATTCTTCATCTGAGAATATCTTGATTTTCTATTCCTGGAGACTATTTTCAATGCATAGAGAATTCAGATTAACAGTTCTTTCAGTGCTTGAATGTCATGCCACTTCCTGTCATCTTTTCTGGTGAGAGGTCCATGGTCAACGGTATTGATTTTCCCCTGTAGGTATGATGTTGTTTTTCCTTCTCTGCTTTCAAGATATTTTTGTCTTTAGTTTTTAGAAGTTTGACTATATTGTGTCTTGGTGTGGAATTCTTTGGGTTTCCCTGTTTGTGGTTCTTGAATCCATACTTTTAGGTTTGGGTTTCTTGATAAATTTGGAAAGTTTTTAGCTATGTTTCTTCAAATACATTTATAGTCCTAACCTCTTCCCAGGTCTCCAATGACACAAATGTTAGACCTTTTGTTATGGTTCCACAGGTCTCTCGGTCTCTGTTAATTTTTTGTTTTGTTTTGTTTTTCAGTCTATTTCCTCTCTGTTGATACCTTCAAGTCACCAATTCTTCCCTCTGTCCATTTTATTGTTGAACCAATCCATTTAGCTTTTTATTTTGGTTATAGTATTTTGACTCCTAAAATTTCCTTTTGGATTTTATTTCTTTGCTGATACTTTCTAATTTTAAATTTGTTGCATGTGTGAGACAAACACATGTGTGTAGGGGAAGAAGGAGGTCTGGCCTTTGTTACCACTGAGTGATAGTGAAAATCCTTAACTCTCTAAGTCCCCTCTGATACAATCCTAGCAAGGAGTGGCAAGGGTGTCCCATTACTGCCAGGTTAAAGATGGAAGTCCAGACTGTGCCCAAGTCTTGCTAGCAGGATTTTCTGTGGTGTTTGGCTGGATTAAAGTGGTCACTTTCTATAAAAATGTGTCCTGATAGACTACCCCTTTCCTGGTCCTTTTTGCTAGAGAGTATGCATTTACTGACCCCACCTTTTTATCCTGTATCTGATGGTGTTCTTAATCACTCATTCTAGGATATATGAGGCAAAAAGAAAATCTAGGGAATTCATCTCTGAGTGGCCAATAGATTATGTCACTATTCTCAGAAAATATACTTTCTCCAACAACAAAATATAAACATTTTTATTTCCCACTTTTAATTTTATAACAGTTAATATGAAAACCATAAAGTATGGCTAATAAGGTGGACAATTTTAAATTACAGCTTTCAAAAAAATCTACCGTATATTTCCATTAGAACCTTTTTCTTAGACCTTTATTCAAAATAATGCTAATTTAAAAATGATGATTTTTAGAAAACATACACACATATAAATATTTGAATATAAAACAATTTATTTGCTAGTTTAGGAAACAGCTATTCCCTCACAATAAAATTTCAATTTCCTTAAGAATGACTAAATTTACTTGGCTAGATGTGGCACAGTTTCAAAACATGTGTCAATAAAAAAGTCAATAAGGTTTCCAAAAATATAGCAGTATGGTATAGTGAAAGCTGGTGAAACTGAGCAAATGGTTACCTGGGTAAAGGCAGATCAGTGTTCCAACTGCTTACCAAGACCTCTTAGTTTAAAAAAAGTTTAGTAGTTTCTCAGATTTTAATATTTTTTGGCAGTTTTTGTGCTGCCTACAATTTTACTGTCATTAGGAGGTGAGGGTCGGTGGGCCTCTTCCTCCACCTTCTCTCTGGCCCCCAGCTTCCCGGCATTTCAGATTATAATTTTTGTTTTCCAGGATCATAAGTTTCTCAGAAGTCAATGGACTTCTGGGGTCAGTATTATATATTCTAGACATGTCAACACTGATCTTTAGGACACACAGCTTTCATTAATATAATATTCATACCAAAAACACCACAAAAATTAAACAACATACTCACCACTTCCACTGAGTATATCAGGTTTGGCCTTCATCATTTTACAAAATTGTCTTCGGCAGTTTTCTATCCACTCAGTTTGTTTATCAGACATTTTGAAGCGTAATAGAAGTTTGCCAAGATCACTGTCTAATAAGAAACACAACATGTTATATTATTATAATGAGATGCTAGAAACACTGAAAAATAAGTATTAATGTTAAATATATAAACAGTTACAAATTCCAGAAATAGTATATAGCTTACAAAAGAAAACATTTTTCCGTAATTACATCTTATGCCATCAATTATACTTATTAAAATCCTATAAAATGAATTTATTAAAAGCTCACAAAATGGATTGATTTATAACCATAATTCTTGAATGTTTTTCTTATATGAACATGATTCATTACTGAGTATTTCAAGCAACAGACATCAAATAACAGATGTAATAGATGTAAGATTTCACTACATAGATTGACATGAACATTATACTCCTTTCTCATGCAATTCAGACACAATTTGATTCATTTCTTTAAAAGCAAAAAGAAAACATAAGCATAGAAAATTTCTAGTCAATTATTTATTTCTACTTCTTGCAAAAAATTATACCAAAAATGAGTGGTGCTGAAAGAGTATCTATGGCTAAAACATAACTTCTTTCTAAGCAATTTCATGAATACATGGCAACTTCCATCTAATTTTATTTTTCCATTTTACTTTTATTCCCAAGAGACCTTTCCATCTTCCATTTTAATATCATTCCCATGAGATTTTGTATTAGAAAACATCTATAAATAATATATTAAAAAGGATGTAGGTATCCTTAAAAAAAGGATATACAAGTACTTATCCAAACAAACATATATACTATCTTCCCACACACATATAAAGATTCAAGGGGGAGAAAAGAGAAGCAATAATGTTTTCTCATTTTCCAGAAGATCATGGTGAAATAAGTAGTCACATAGACTCATACCTTTTAACACTTTCCTTGAAAGACATTTGGGGATCAAAAAGGAACAAGAGCCTTTTGAAAATAAAGGGTCAAAGTCCTGACTGCCCCTGCCCAAAGATGTGTCTGGGAACACTAACACTACAAAATATATCTGCCAAAGTTCTCTTTGGGCTGATAAATCCCACCAGGAAGATAATAGTGGTCAATCTAATACTAGAGAGAGTTTCAGCCAACTCTTACCTTCTTAAAAAAAATAATATTATTTTTATAATAATAAAGCAAGTCCTTACTCTTACATATTTAAAAAATTAATCTTTCTACCATACCAACTATTTTCATTTTTCCATCCAATCTTTGTAAAAATACATTTAAAAAAATATGTATGGAATTCCTCCTACTTGGCTATAATAATCAAGCCAAAGTCCCTTGCCCTCATGAAACCCACATGTCATAAAGCATATGCTTATATATATATATATATATATAATTAAGTTATTAAGTCAAAGGAGAAAATGATTCTTTTTAATAAAAACTCTCAAAACCTTTAACCTAAACTCAAGAAATACCAAAGCTGATAATTTTGTTTAATTATATTACTAATAACAAAGTTATAATGTTAAATGTATCTTAATATGAATTAGGCAAAATACTTGATTCAACAGCATTAAAATAATTTTTATAGTTTCCATTTAGAATATCTACATTACTTCTTTCCCAAGAACAAACTATCTAAAGCCTAATAAGAATCACTAGTGGCATATGATTGCAAAGACAAATGTAGCTTTTCATCTCTGTTTTTCCTCTATATCATCTTTTCTATCCATGTATAACCTGTCTTTTATAACTACTACTATCTCCTTCAAGTAGAAGATGCCCATGTAGCTCTTTTGTAAATTACCTGCTCTTGAAAAGTCCTATATTATCCATTCCCTCTTCCCTCCTGCCCTACACCCTCCTCTTGCCCTCCTATCCTTTCACATTAGCTATTCTGTTTTGCTTTTTATCATCTCATTCTAAGAAAAAGAGCACAAGGTACCACAATTGTAAACAGTGCTGAAGCAGCAGATGTGGTGTGCATGTGAATCTACCAGTTGGTGGAAGGGTTAAAGGGTCCAGTTTACCTGGAAATTGGAATTTAGGCTGAGCTAGAGACAGAGTGACTACAAAGACTCCTAGAGACAACTTGGTAGCCTTTATATATATCTGGTTACATTTTCTCAATCAATGAGAGTGTGAGCTTTTCAATTTGCATTCCTCACAGTTAAAAGTATTTAGTGATTTGATATAATGTTAACTGAAAAATACGTGTATCTGTGATATTTAGGTTTGAGGGGAACAATGATTCTTTTATTTCCCCCTCCAAATCTGGGACTAACAGAGTAGTAGATAGGAGTAGATAAATGGAGTCCAAGAAATCTATGTTAGTACTGAAACAGCTAAAGTAGACACCGTTACTTAGATCTGCTGCCATATGAACTCCCAAATGTCTTCCCTGAATTAAACTAACCTATTCAATCACAGACAATGATAGACAACCAAAGGCCTCTGCTAACTAAAATGTACCAATATAACCTAAAGATAGGCTAACATGAAAGTACACCTTACACAAGTAGGCTAATCCAAGATTTTCCAACCTTCTCCCAAGTTCCCCTACCAAACATTCTTCCTACCTTTGTGCAGAATAAGTGGGCAAAGCCAGAGAAAGGCCAATGGTGTTAGACCAGCAAAGGCCCTTGGACATAGAAAATGAGGCAAGAGGAAATGGAATCACAGGAATGGTACTACAAGAATATAATAACTCTATATTAGTAACTATGCGAGTAGAGCAAATATGAATCTGATGTTTTCCCAAAATTTCTATGTTCATAGTAACACAAAAGAATTAAAACCCAGAGTTTTGCTTCTGGCCATGATGGAGGTACTAGGAATAGACTTGCTGTCCTGCTGTAAACAACCTGAAAACTGAATAAAATATAACAAACAATGGTTTCCAAACATTGGGCGACAGGCAGTACAGGACTGTTTTGCCTGAGAAAAGGGAAACTAACATGGTGAGCTTTACAACTGGCCTTTTATCTTGAAGGAAATTTCAAGATCACTATGCAGGATGGGGATGCTATGGAGGTCTTGCAGAGTTGAAGAGACAGAAGTCAAATTGCAGAGACTGAGGAGGCTAAAAAAATTTGGGATCATAGTACTAAAGAGGAAGAGCAGAGCAAAGAACTACAGCAATCTGTGTAAGCCTTCGTCAAGCTGATTGCAAAATAATCAGCAATGCAAATAAAGGATGAGACTCCACAAGGTTGGGCAAAAAAACAGTTGGGAGCTTGTTAAATGAACAATTCCCAGAATATACTTAGCGCTGGCTGATGTCCAAGTTCCAGAGTGAAGAGTCCTGTAACTAACCAGGATAGTCCATAAAGGTGCCAGAAAAGTAACACCTTAGTAATAGAGTTAAATTTGCAATAAAGGCAACTCTATACCCAACATAACCAAAAAATGAGAGCCCTGAAGGATCAAACTGATCCATGAATAACTTGACAGCACTCTAAAAAATGTCCATTACTATTTAAAGAAAAACAAAATGAATGAATGTGTGTGAATGAATGATGTGAACGAATGATGTCTGATATTCAATAAAGAAATCACTGACATGAGAAAGGGGAAAAATGTGGCTCACAACCAGTAGATAAATCAACTAATAGATCCAGAAAGGACTAGAGTGATATGATTAGCAAAGATTTTAAAGCAGCTATTTTTAAGTATTTAAAGAAAATGTGAACAAAACCAAATGTTTTGGTACAATTTAACCAAATTATACTTTATCCATACTAGAACCCCATTCAGTAAAAAAAGATAGCAAATGGTACACGTAACAAACTGGATGCATCTCAAAACCATTATGCTGAGAGAAAGAAACCAGGCACAAAGTATCCTATATGATTCTATTTGTATGAACCGCTAGTATAGGAAAAACTAATCTTTGGTAGCTATTCTCAAGCAGACTTTGTTTTGCTCTCTAGAAGTTACTTCAGCAGTCTTTACAGACATTTCTGATTGTCATACCTAGGAGTGGGGAGTACAGAAAGAGTTCTACTGGCATCTAGTGGGTGGAGACCAGGGATGCTGCTAAAAATCCTACAAGGCACAGGACCAGACCCTCTGGCAACAAGCAATTACCCAGCCCAAAATACTAACAGTGCTGAGGTTGAGAAATCCTAATCTATAGTAGCGGGGGTGGGGGGGGGTTGGGAATCAGTAATTGCCTGAGGCTGGGAATAGAGAGCAGTCGACTGCAAGGGACAAAGGGAACTTTTGTGGGGTCATAAAAATGTTATATATTTGATTATGGTGGTGCTTATGTGTGCGCAGACATGCCAAAATTCAAACTCTTCTTAAAATGGATGTATTCTGTTGATATAAAAAATTGATTATTCATACATATGTGTGTGTAAATGTGGGGTATAATTGAAAGTGACAGTGAATAAAAGCTTCTAAGCATATTAGTGCCTCTAAAATATGAGCAATTATAGTTCCTAATTTGGTATAAAGTCTATATAAGAACCCAATAAACTTTAATTAAAAGTATGGGCATGTATAAAATGATTCACATGAAAAGAACCCTAGTCACAATTTTATAATAAAGTGTTTTAAAGTATAAATTTTTAAAATCCTCATTGTTATATCTTCTTATGAGGTTCTGGCTCCTTTCTCTGTACAATCCAGTCTCCTGTAATGAAATGAATATTCACTTCTTAGGGTTAAATGAGAAAACAGTTGATCTATTTCACCAGGAAGAATCCAGGTTTATATTCTACACACTGAACACAATTTCTTTCTTAAGTCACATTTTTTATTCAATTGTTTTTATATACTTCTTACCCTACAGTATTATTTTTAGAGAAAGTACCATATCATAGTTTAGTTTCAGTGTATTAATTATACATCTAGTTATGAAGTTACCATGTTCATCTACTGTTTTGTTTTCCCAAGAGCGGTTTGGTGTGTCTAGTAAGTATATGCTCTTCTTCTCTTTGCTCCTTCAGACCACTATGATTTACAGACAATGCAAAGTTGGAAGAGAAAGTAAAAAATCTTTTTTAAACTCATTCCTTAATTGAGGAAAATGGGAAAAAAAGGGGGGGGACATCAAGTTTCATGTTCACCAATTATAGTACATATCTAAACT